AAAAAAAAAAAAAAAAAAAAGACTTGGGGAAGAATTTGAAGTATTCAGCAAATCAAAAGGAAGGTTCAGGCTCCTTCCTTTGCTGACCCCTCTCTGAAGCAAGGCTGTGCTCCTTGCTGACTGCTTGGTGGAGCTGTCCTCTGCTGCCTGCTTCTTAGGGTCAGATCTCAGAGAAAACATCAATAGAGACATGGAGATCCAGGAGGGAAACCCATATAGCACAGCGAAGTGCGCAACCCAGGCTTCAAAAATGTTTTTTTCTCTCTTTAAACACAGCTCAGATCGTTCACGGAGACTGACTCAACCCACTCTGCCAGTGACACAGAGGTGGTAAAATGAAATCTGGGGGTAAAAGTAAGGCTCCCTTGCCAAGTTTGTGAGGAAGATGCAGGATACAAGGCTTTTCCCAGGAATACCTAAGTGCCTGTGAAGCTGTAGGGAAAGCCTTGGCAGTCAGACGAATGCAGATTGGAATCCTAGCTCCTGTTTAATGGCAGGTGAACTTGAGTAAGTAACTCAACCCCTTAGAGCCTCGGCTTCCTCAACCTTAAAAAGGAGGATAAAAGTGTACACTGTTCCTTATTTCTATCAACCTGTCCAAATTGAGGCTCCTTACTCACCTTTCAAGTACTGTGATGGCTGTTAGAACTCGTCTCTGAGTCCACCTCTCTGCCACCTGACACGATAGAACTGCAGTTTGTGGCCCCCTTTGAAGTTAGGTACAGCTGTGTGACAGCTCCAGCCAGGGAAATGTGTCATTTTAAGTTGGACTTTAATTGCCATTGTGAGACCCTCAAAGCTCTCTTTTCCTGTGGCCCAGCGACCAAAATTATTTGTGATGGTAGTGGCTCCATCACCCTTGGGTGCTTGGGTGACTACAATGAAGAGAGTCTCCTGCCACCCTGTGAGGACCCTGTGTTATACATGCAAGCAGGAAACAGAACTGTTGTTTCAAGCTGCTGGTATTTGGGAGTTGTGATTTTCGAATATGATACCAGTGGTAAGCAAAGAAATGCAGTTACCCAAAGGGGACTCGAAAAGTTCTTGAAAGACTTCAGTTTTATATATCACCTTATGAATTCATCCCACCAACCTTTACCAAGCATTGAGTACCGGCCAGGCCCTGCAGGGTCTACATGGAGCATAGTCCCTGATGTCAGGAGCTTCCTGTCTAGGACGTAAAAACCCCACCTTAGACACTCACTCTCTTCAACCAATACATCTGGTAGAACTGGTTTTATTAGTTTTTAGTTTATGAGTGGTTTTTGGAAAATGGATGAAGACAGGAAGTATGGGTCTAAGAAACTAGTCCAGATCTATGCATGGACCCCTCCCCTCCTCACCATCACAGCATGTTTCTCTCTGCTTTCATGTCTCTGCTTCAGCTGGACTCTCTGCATCTTCAAATTCCACATCTTCCCTGAAGCCCTTCCAACTGAAACGCCCTTCTTCTAAAAACTCTATAATTTGGCCAGGTATGGTGGCTCATACCTGTAATCCCAGCACTCTGGGAGGCTGAGGAGAGCAGAATGCTTGAGCTCAGGAGTTCGAGACGAGCCTGAGCAAGACCCTGTCTCTAAATAAACTAGCCAGGTGGTTGGCGGGGGCCTGTAGTCCCAGCTATTTAGGAGACTGAGGCATAAGGATCTCTCAAGCCCAAGAGTTTGAGGTTACTGTGAGTTATGACACCATAGCACTCAACCAGGGGCAACAAAGTGAGATTCTGTATCTAAATAAATAAATAAATAAAAATAAAAATCCTGTAATTCTATCACTCATTGGATACATCCTGCCTTCAGTTGCATAGTAGAGACAGAAAAAATTGGGGGAGCCAGACAGGCCTAGTTTTAAGTCCTAGTTTTGCCCCTTCCTGAGAAGGCCAAAGATCTTGCTTTGATTGAACATTAACTCTGAATTGAACAATGTAAGTCAAAATACAAATTTAATTGTCATACTTGCCCTTCAAGATTTATTATATAGCTAGGCACAGTGACTTGTGCCTATAATCCCAGCTACTCCAGAGGCTGAAGCAAGAGGTTTGCTTGAGCCCAAGAATTCAAGGCTGCAGTGAGCTATGATCACAACATTGCACTCTAGCCTGGG